GATATTAATAATCATCATATATACAGATCACTTTCAATGAGGAAGGCGTCTTGTACTTTATGATATTATGTATTCAAATTTCCTGTTTAGACACGAGTGGTTGCCCCACATTACGACTTTATGAACAAATAATTGGAAATGTTCAAGAAGAGACATTTAAACATAAACAAATATACATGTATGTACATGTACACGTGGTATACACACACCCCGTGCAGGCATCACACATTCAAACGTTCAGAAATACGCAAGTAAGCACACAAGCACATACATACATTTATGATGTAGGCTAAATGGGTTGGTTTCTCGGCAGGATAAAGCTAACGGAAAAAAATGGTATTCGTTAAGGTCACTTGCGGACAAATAAGCAAATATAAGGTAAAATAGCTGCTACTTTTAGAGTTTATAAATATGGCGTCGCCCGTCTATCGATGATCGAGCCAGAATTGACTATCGCGGACCTAGACAAGTTACCAGGATACATATTATTATTATCAAAATAAGGTATCATGACAAGTTTCGGTGTCTGAAAGGTGCGTACCTGAGACCTTTCGAAAGTGAAGGCAACTTTGGAGATAAAAACTGCGAAGAAATTTAGCAAATTCCAACACCTGTGCTTGTTGACCTCTGCGGCTTTGGGGCTTTTCCCGAATTATTTTGGATTTTGGCCGAAATGAGTTTATGAATGAGGGAAGGTACCGGCCTTAAAGCACACAGGGGTGGGTGAAGATATGTTTCCCCTAAAAGTATAAAGGGGCGGTTGAAGGAAACACGAACATATCGTCTTAATATACACCTGACATTTAGGTTTAATATCCAGATTACAGTTAATCATTATCATGGTACGCTTTCTCCTCTGCGTATTCAGTGGAATGTTCTCAACGAAAATCGGTTAAATATACTGAAATAAAATAAATTGAATGTAACCTTCAAGTTGGTCAGTACATGTTTTACATATTACACTTTCTCGCGTGGAAATGGCTTGGACAGAGCGAGCTAACAGAGAATGGGCTGATTTCAATGTTGCTTCCTATGTGTGACGAGGTGCCGCAAGCATGGTGGACCCGCTTCTCGTCAACCTTTGTCGCAAGCGCTCGCTGCCTTGTGAACACGGACACAGACATGTGTGACTACCCAAGCAGTTAATACTAGCTAATTTACTTTGAAAATAGTTATCTCACTCATTCAATCTGATAATTCCCTGTCATTCAATCAGCATTGACATCGAGTGTTCTAATGGAGCCACTAAAAGCTAAACTTGATAAAACGATTTGCACAAAGCTGATTTTGAGATGAAGTTGCAGACGACCTATAACCGACATGTTTTCCCTCAAGAAAATAGTGGGTGCTAGCACACATTCATTTCCCATTACACACAAGTCTACAGGGACACTTACCAGTAGTTTCACCACGAAAGATCACATTTACAATCAAACCATGAAGCCATTATGCAAGTCAATTAACAAATCAATAATTACGGCACAAAGTTTTGTGAAGACAGGGCTGATTGTACGTCGTCCGCGAAAGGGGCTGGCGACTGGGATCCCGTCAGAGTAATCAATGCATTGTAATGTCTAATCGCTTCCCGTTGATTGCAGCTTGTATCAATATGAATAACTCTGTCATCAATAGAGCAATTTCAATATGTGTATTGAACCAGTAACTGATTACAAGATATTTCCATTTGGTTATATCGCTAGACCTTCATTGTAATTGCAGAATTACCCTGTTTTCATCCCGCGGGAGCTTAAGCAAGCATAAAACCGTTTCAGTTTGTTTATTAATCATCTAGTAGGGAAGTAGGTAGAATCTGAGTTTTAACTGCTTTAGCAGACGGTTACTGTCGCTACGGCTATCTGAATGGGTTTCCATTGCTGTTAAAGTTCTATAGAACGCTACAACAAAGCTGTAATCACATTGACCCATGTCGCTCGATGCCAGCACACATGCCAACATACACTTACTGGCTGATATTAATTTGATGCCGCTCGTTTGGTCTATTCCCCTTTTTTTCCATAAGTCTGCAATTGTGTGCTTATATTTAAGTCAGTTTGCTACTTGACCAATGACAGTTCATCAACTGACAATCAGCCAGTGTGGATTAAACGCTATCATACAGAAATAATTTATTTGACATAATTCAGGCTATCACACACATCTTAACATGACAAATACTAACACGCACACTTCGACGTGACACACAGACTACCACACACACTTCAACATGACACACAGACTACCACACACACACACACACCTCAACATGACACACAGACTACCAAACACACGCACCTCAACATGATACACAGACTACCACACTCACCTCAGCATGACACACAGACTACCATACACACCTCAGCATGACACACAGACTACCACACACACTTCAACATGGCACACAGACTACCACACACACACACCTCAGCATGACAAACAGACTACCACACACACCTCAACATGATACACGGACTACCACACACACCTCAGCATGACACACAGACAACCACACACACCTCAACATGACACCCAGACCACCATACACACCTCAGCATGACATACAGACTGCCACATATACCTCAACATGACACACAGACTACCAAACACACCTCAGCATGACACACAGACTGCAACACACACCTCAACATGACACAGACTACCACATATACCTCAACATGACACACAGACGACCACACACACCTCAACATGACACAGACTATCACACATACCTCAACATGACACACACACACACCTCAGCATGAAACACAGACTACCACACACACCTCAACATGACACACAGACTACCACACACATCTCATCATGACACACAGACTACCACACATACCTCAACATGACACACAGACTACCACACTCACCTCAGCATGACACACAGACTACCACACATACTTCAACATGACACAGACTACCACACAGACACCTCCACACGACACACAGACTACCACACACACCTCAGCATGACACACAGACTACCACACACATCTCAGCATGACACACAGACTACCACACACACCTCAGCATGACACACAGACTGCAACACACACCTCAACATGACACAGACTACCACATATATCTCAACATGACACACAGACAACCACACACACCTCAACATGACACAGACTATCACACATACCTCAACATGACACACAGACTACCACACACACACACCTTAGCAAGACACACAGACTACCACACACACCTCAACATGACACACAGACTACCACACACATCTCAGCATGACACACAGACTATCACACATACCTCAACATGACACACAGACTACCACACACACCTCAACATGACACAGACTGCCACACACCTCAACATGACACACAGACTACCACACACACCTTAACATGACACAGACTACCACACAGACATCCCAACACGACATACAGATTACCACACACACACCTCAGCATGACACACAGACTACCACACATGTCTCAACATGACACAGACTACCACACAGCCACCTCAACATGACACACAGACTACCACACACACACACACCTCAGCATGACACACAGACTACCACACACACCTCAACATGACACACAGACTACCACACACACCTCAGCATGACACACAGACTACCACACACATCTCAGCATGACACACAAACTACCACACATACCTCAACATGACACAGACTACCACACAGCCACCTCAACATGACACACAGACTACCACACACCCACACCTCAGCTTGACACACAGACTACCACACTCACCTCAGCATGACACACAGACTACCACACACATCTCAGCATGACACACAGACTACCACACATACCTCAACATGACAAAGACTACCACACAGACACCTCCACACGACACACAAACTACCACACAGACACACCTCAACATGACACACAGACTACCATACACACCTCAACATGACACAGACTGCCACACACCTCAACATGACACACAGACTACCACACACATCTCAGCATGACACACAGACTACCACACACACCTCAACATGACACAGACTTCCTAACACCTCAGCATGACATAACATTAAATGTGGGCTCGTCACGCCGGAGATTGGGGTTCCATGCCCGTCATATATACAAATTGTGAAGCAAATAATTAGCGTCCAATGTTCGGATATGACCAGAATGGTACTAAAAACGTCGTACAGCCACAATCGCTAACCAACGTCCTTTAGTCGATTTTGTGTCGAGATGGAATCATAATTCTTGTTACGAAGTTGTTTGAATCTTCCTTCTTCGCTGTTTACAAGAAATGTGTTGTTATATTTGACATGTTATTGACTCACTATTTGTTCTAGCATAAGGACAGAGTGTGAAACTGTATGAACGGTGACTTCACATCTAGGCGAGTCAGTCCGACTAAAGATGGCAGCTCCCCCCCCCCCCCCCCCCCCCCCTCACAACTTCGTATGAATGGTGAACGTGGTTGGCGTTGCGGGATTAACAGTTAAAATCACATTACAGAGATAATCCTCATGATCTGCCATTACCTAATGCCAGTGCTCACCTTGAAGCAAACACCCAACACAAAGACTTTGATCTGTCATTGCACACAATAAAGGACTAATGATATAGCTTGTTATTGGATACAGTGAACATGTATCAACTGGTTAGCAATAGGCTTTATTCCAAGGCAATCATTCTAGCTAACATGTATAAGTAAATACATTGCAAAAAAATGTTGTTTGATGACAGTACTTATTCGGTTACAAATTACAGTATTTTGTGTTTCTTAACATTCCTATATGAGGAAACTTGTTACAGAGTTTCACGGAGGAACTATTGAATGAAGCCACAAGAACGAACAGACATGTATACACTACAGTGTCTGTGTGAATCATTTACCATGTGACACGGTCCTAATATATGTCAGTGGATGAAAGTCACTTAATATTTGCGTCAAAATGTGCATAAGGTACAAGGTTATCGCTACAAAGAACCTGACGCCGCTTGGATAAAATAAAGGAGTGACCAAGTACGTACCTGCTGGAGCCATGCTTTTCCCTATGCTGATCACAGCTAGTATCAACCGTACGTCCATATCGTGAACACCAGTGGGTATACCACTTGTCCTTCATTTAAACCTTGCGTCTCTCTGACAAAACTTTACGAGTTCAAGTCACAGCCACTGCGACACGTCTGTGCGGTACGGTCACGTGGGCATGCGGCTAAGCCCATTGATGCTTTGTGTATTAGGAAAAAGGCAGGCCTATCGGCTCATGGATTAGTAGCACTGGCTGTATACACCTATATCGGCTGACAGATTAGAGGCAATGGCTGTATATATCGGCGATATTTGTCTTGGTGGGTATGGTGGAAAGGACAGATTAACGAATTAAAACCACCCTGTGTTGGGGCGTTGTAAATTGTATGTGCAAAATAACTACACCTGACTGTATTCTTTATACAGGACATTCTCGGATCCAGCACAGCAGACTTCAGACAGTGTAAGCGCCGACGGGTTGATCATCTTTAACACATCTATATACCTGATGTATAATATATTGATGCTGTGTGAGGTTCCCGGCTAGATAACACTGTGAACGTAGATCATTGCGGGCCGAGTTTTGAGGACATGAAGCAGCGTCTCCGAGCACCCGCGGGTATATGGCTGGGTCAGCACTACAGCACCCCGGCCACATCCACTATGTACATGCCACCGGTCAGCAACAGTGTCACACATGTGATCACACGTACACTGAGCTGTACGTAGTGTTTTCTCGTAGGGGAAAGACACCTTCTGCACTTGATTGAATGATGGTGCATTTAATAAACATTACCCGATTTACAGTAAACTACGTTTATAACGAGCACGCTTGTAACTCCCCCCCCCCCCCCTGTACACACTGTACACATCCACCTTCCACGTCACTGTACACATCCAACTTCTACGTCACTGTACACACCCACCTTCCATGTCACTGTACACACCCACCTTCTACGTCACTGTACACACCCACCTTCTACGTCACTGTACACATCCACCTTCCACGTCACTGCACACACCCACCTTCCATGTCACTGTACACACCCACCTTCCATGTCACTGTACACATCCACCTTCCATGTTACTGTACACATCCACCTTCCATGTTACTGTACACATCCACCTTCCATGTTACTGTACACATCCACCTTCAATGTTACTGTACACACCCACCTTCTACGTCACTGTACACACCCACCTTCCATGTTACTGTACACATCCACCTTCCATGTTACTGTACACATCCACCTTCAATGTTACTGTACACACCCACCTTCTACGTCACTGTACACACCCACCTTCCATGTCACTGTACACATCCACCTTCCATGTTACTGTACACACCCACCTTCCATGTCACTGTACACACCCACCTTCCATGTCACTGTACATATCCACCTTCCATGACACTGTACACACCCACCTTCCATGTCACTGTACATATCCACCTTCCATGACACTGTACACATCCACCTTCCATGTCACTGTACACACCCACCTTCCATGTCACTGTACACACCCACCTTCCATGTCACTGTACATATCCACCTTCCATGACACTGTACACATCCACCTTCCATGTCACTGTACACACCCACCTTCCATGTCACTGTACACATCCAACTTCTACGTCACTGTACACATCCACCTTCCATGTCACTGTACACATCCACCTTCCATGACACTGTACACATCCACCTTCCATGTCACTGTACACACCCACCTTCCATGACACTGTACACATCCACCTTCCATGTCACTGTACACATCCACCTTCCATGACACTGTACACATCCACCTTCTATGTCACTGTACATCCTACCTTCTACGTCACAGTACACATCCACCTTCCATGTCACTGTACACACCCACCTTCCATGTCACTGTACACATCCAACTTCTACGTCACTGTACACATCCACCTTCCATGTTACTGTACACATCCACCTTCCATGACACTGTACACATCCACCTTCCATGTCACAGTACACACCCACCTTCCATGTCACTGTACACACCCACCTTCCATGTCACTGTACACATCCATCTTCCATGTCACTGTACACATCCACCTTCCATGTTACTGTACACATCCACCTTCCATGTTACTGTACACACCCACCTTCTACGTCACTGTACACATCCACCTTCCATGTCACTGTACACATCCTACCTTCTACGTCACAGTACACACCCACCTTCCATGTTACTGTACACACCCACCTTCTACGTCACAGTACACACCCACCTTCCATGTTACTGTACACACCCACCTTCTACGTCACAGTACACACCCACCTTCCATGTTACTGTACACACCCACCTTCCATGTCACTGTACACACCCACCTTCTACGTCACTGTACACATCCACCTTCCATGTCACTGTACACATCCTACCTTCTACGTCACTGTACACACCCACCTTCCATGTCACTGTACACATCCACCTTCCATGTCACTGTACACATCCACCTTCCATGTTACTGTAACATCCACCTTCCATGTCACTGTACACACCCACCTTCTACGTCACTGTACACACCCACCTTCTACGTCACTGTACACATCCACCTTCCATGTCACTGTACACATCCACCTTCCATGTCACTGTACATATCTACCTTCCATGACACTGTACATATCTACCTTCCATGACACTGTACACATCCACCTTCAATGTTACTGTACACACCCACCTTCCATGACACTGTACACACCCACCTTCCATGTCACTGTACACATCCACCTTCCATGTTACTGTACACATCCACCTTCCATGTCACTGTACACACCCACCTTCTACGTCACTGTACACATCCACCTTCCATGTCACTGTACACATCCACCTTCCATGTCACTGTACACATCTACCTTCCATGTCACTGTACATATCTACCTTCCATGACACTGTACATATCTACCTTCCATGACACTGTACACATCCACCTTCAATGTTACTGTACATATCCACCTTCCATGACACTGTACACACCCACCTTCCATGTCACTGTACACATCCTACCTTCTACGTCACTGTACACATCCACCTTCCATGTCACTGTACATATCTACCTTCCATGACACTGTACACATCCACCTTCCATGTCACTGTACATATCTACCTTCCATGACACTGTACATATCTACCTTCTACGTCACAGTACACACCCACCTTCCATGTCACTGTACACATCCAACTTCCATGTCACTGTACATATCTACCTTCCATGACACTGTACACATCCACCTTCCATGTCACTGTACATATCTACCTTCCATGACACTGTACATATCTACCTTCCATGTCACAGTACACACCCACCTTTAATGTCACAGTACACACCCACCTTCCATGTCACTGTACATATCTACCTTCCATGACACTGTACATATCTACCTTCCATGACACTGTACATATCCACCTTCCATGTCACTGTACATATCTACCTTCCATGACACTGTACATATCTACCTTCCATGACACTGTACATATCCACCTTCCATGTCACTGTACATATCTACCTTCCATGACACTGTACATATCCACCTTCCATGTCACTGTACATATCTACCTTCCATGACACTGTACATATCTACCTTCCATGACACTGTACACATCCACTTTCTACGTCACTGTAGACATCCACCTTCTACGTCGCTGTACATATCCAACTTCCATGTCACTGTACATATCCACCTTCCATGTCACTGTACACACCCACCTTCCATGTCACTGTACACACCTACCTTCCATGTCCCTGTACACATCAACCTTCCATGTCACTGTACATATCCAACTTCCATGTCACTGTACATACCCACCTTCTAAGTCACTGTACACATCCAACTTCCATGTCACTGTACACATCCACCTTCCATGTCACTGTACACATCAACCTTCTACGTCACTGTACACACCCACCTTCCATGACACTGCACACCCCAACCTTCCATGTCACTGTACACACCCACCCTCCATGTCACTGTACACACCCACCTTCCATGTCACTGTACACACCCACCTTCCATGTCACTGTACATATCTACCTTCCATGACACTGTACACATCCACCTTCCACCTCACTGTACACATCCACCTTCAATGTCACTGTACACACCCACCTTCTACGTCACTGTACACACCCACCTTCAATGTCACTGTACACACCCACCTTCCATGTCACTGTACACATCCACCTTCCATGTCACTGTACACACCCACCTTCCATGTCACTGTACATATCTACCTTCCATGACACTGTACACACCCACCTTCCATGTCACTGTACATATCTACCTTCCATGACACTGTACACATCCACCTTCAATGTCACTGTACACACCCACCTTCCATGACACTGTACACACCCACCTTCCATGTCACTGTACATATCTACCTTCCATGACACTGTACATATCTACCTTCCATGACACTGTACACACCCACCTTCCATGACACTGTACACACCCACCTTCCATGTCACAGTACATATCTACCTTCAATGTCACTGTACACACCCACCTTCCATGACACTGTACATATCCACCTTCAATGTCACTGTACACACCCACCTTCCATGACACTGTACACACCCACCTTTCATGTCACTGTACATATCTACCTTCCATGACACTGTACACACCCACCTTCCATGACACTGTACACATCCACCTTCAATGTTACTGTACACACCCACCTTCCATGACACTGTACACACCCACCTTTCATGTCACTGTACATATCTACCTTCCATGACACTGTACACACCCACCTTCCATGACACTGTACACATCCACCTTCAATGTTACTGTACCGCCTTGTATGTACACATCCAACTTCCATGTCACTGTACCGTCTTCAATGTCACCGTACAGCCATGCATGCACCTTTTCACCTTCAATGTCACCGTACAGCCATGCATGCACGTATACACCTTCAATGTCACCGTACAGCCATTCATGCACCTATCCACCTTCAATGTCACCGTACAGCCATGCATGCACTGTTACAACCCTTAGTGTAAAAAATACTCTTAGTGTAAACAAATTTACATCAAGGGTTGAAGTGATAGATAATATTTTTTTTACATTAAGGGTTATCACTATAAAATAATACTTATCGAACTTTCTTGAAACTTCGAAGATTTAATTGATCGTTACTTTGTCTAGATATGCAAATGACTGATCATTTTTAGATCCCCTCTCTACAACGACCACCTGGTTGTTATATTCAGGCTTCAT